TCATCCTGGCTATAGATGTTCATTTTATTATTTATTTTAGTTTGTGTCTTTGAATAATGGCTTAGTTCCAAGGTAATTTGTTTAGAGGTCAGCAGAAGCTACTCTTCATTTTATACCCCTAGTAGTTGTGTTTTGATGCAAGTAAGTTTAAAATACAAAACTGCATATGCTCACTGTCTGTCTTTAGTAATTTGCGATAATAAGTAGGTTTGGTTTTTTGCTTAAATGTATCAAATGTATGTATAAGCTGTTAAGCATGGAGTGGCAGTTAAGGTCTGTGTGTGTTTGTGGGTAGAACTGTCATTTGTGTACTGCACAACCTGCGTAACACCTAGTATAATGGAGTGGGTGACAACTACACAAACATTAACGACAGAGTCTTACATTACCTAACTACACAAACAGGAGTGATCGGAAAAATAGACCATTTCCTCCGTGCTTTATTTTCGAAAGATGAGAGGCAGGCCCATCTCGTAGAACATTTTCCTCATCGTAATAGTAGGCTTGCGCAAGTCGCCTCTGACTTCTCTGCACGTGCTCAGAGGCGCTTGGGCTTTAGGGCTGCATTCTACGTTCCCGGGCCTTCTCCTAGCACTCCCCAGTAAATCCTTCTCTTTTCTCCATCCGCTTCTCCAGTCACCTCTCGTGGGCTCGGGAGGTGCGCCTTCCCCGCCACCTCCACCTCGCATCCCGCTTTCTGCCAACTCCCCTTCTCCCCCTTTCTCCAGAGTAGCGGCAGCATCTGCTCAGTTCCCGCCTCTATCCCCGCCCGGCACCGAGCAGGAGGAGGCGGAGGAAGGAAGGAAGAGCGGCGTAGCTGCAGTGAGTGGGAAGCAGCGACAGCAGCGGCGGAAGAAGGCGAGTTTTGTCCTTGCTGCTGCTGCTGCGGCTGCTGCGTCTGCGGCCGCTGAGGGGACCGGACTGGCGGCGGCACCATGGCCTCGCCTCCCCCCAGGCCACAGGCGGGCTGCAGGGCGCGGACGGCAGCAGGAGGAGCGAGCGCCCGGCAGTGACCAGCCTCCGTCGCTCGGCCGTCTCCCTTGCCCAGCAGGCCGCGTCCCTCGGCGTCGGCGGCGCGCGTCTGGACACCCCGGGGGGGCGCTCCGCCGCGCCGTCGCCCCTTCTCGTGGCCCTCGGCAGCGGAGGGCGGAGGCGGCGGCGGCGCCACCACCACCATGTGGGGGAGGCTCCTTTGCGAGCTTGGCCAAAACGGCGACTACAGAGCAGGTGAGGCGAGGCGAGGGCCGGGCGGGCAGTGCGGGGCCAACTTGCGCGGGGCATCCTCTCCTCGGGCAGCCGCGTGTCCGCCAGGCGCCCTGCGGACGCTGCGCCGCGCCGCGCCGCGCCGGGGCGGGGGCGGAGGAGAACGCCTGAGCGCAGCCCGGGGTTGGCTTGTGTAAGGCTCGCCTCGAAGTCTGCCCCTTCCTCTCTAGTTTCCGGGCTACAGCTTTCCTCCCTCAACTTTGACGCTAAAATAAAGGTCTGTCCCCCCGCCACACGCGCACCCCTCGCCGGTCCTGTTCTTGCCCCCGGACACGTTAGGAAGATGTTCGTTAACGCACGTCGCCATCCGGCCGAGCGATTTGGAGGAGGGGCGGCTGGCAGGGAGAGTTGCGTGGAGAGAAGCGGAGGGAGAAGGAGGTCACTGCAACAAACCCGCGCGGCGGTGCAGATTGCAGGCTGGCCGGCCCGGGTGGGAAGGAGAGCACGGGAGAGAACGACGCTTCTGGGAGCCATTTAAACTATACGGCGATGTAATTAGCTTGCGGCTATATTTAGTGCTGTCTCCCTAATCGTCTTTAAAATCTGGGGCTGGTGAACGTGGCTTAGTTTAAAAAGGAAAGGAAATCCCCTCCTTGCCAAAATGCTCTTTCCCAGCTTTGCTTTCCTTTCGGCAGTCCGAGAGACCAGTTTGAGGTTGGGGAAGGGGTAGAAGAGCTCCGTGCTGCCCGTCTTGCACATGGCATTTAAATAAAGTTGTGTGTGTCCGTGTCTTCAGTCATGGAACCCAGTTTTCTTAGAGATTGCCTTCTCTCTGCTTCCGGGAAACAATGGTAATTTAGGCATAGGACTTTTATTTTTGAAGGAATGGTTTGAAATGCTCCTTAGTCCTAAATCTGTGCATCCTCTGTTGAGACTGAAGTGTTAATGTAGATATATTTTGTTGAAAGTAGTGGGATTTAACTCTACAGGGAGTGTGGCCCATCAGTTCACATGTCAGTACCACCCCTGATTAATTAAACAGTACAGTTATCTTCCTAATTAAATCACCCAAAATAGGATTATTCTTGCACTGATGATTGAAACAAGACTGTGTTTTAGTCATCTGCAACTAAGTTTATTACTGAAATGGAACACTGTGTGGTGCCTGAGAACAAATTGTGCTTGGCTGCACAGCACTGCAGAATAAATTACAATTTTTGCTTACACTGTAAGTAACTGTACTGTTCAGTGTATCTTAAGGATGGGATATATTGCTTTACATTGCCAGCTGTTGTACAAGAGAACAAATGCTAAACCATGTTGATTTAATTGTTCTAACTTGCAAATTAATGACCAGAACTAGTTATATTTAAATACTTAGCTTGTCCTTAATTTACCAGGAGAACCGAACAATAGATTTACCTCATGGGGGGTATTTTGATTATGAGATTATAGCGATTCCAAAACTAATTAATTAATTTAGTTAACTAATTCTATAATCATCAGTAGATTTAGAGAATGGCATTCATGTGCTTTTCTTACTGTTTCACTAGAAAATGTCAGTGTATCTATTTTATTACCAAGGATCAACATGGCAATAATTTTCTATTCCAGAAGTGGGCAACCATTAGCCCTGCAGATGTTCCACCCTACAACTCCTATCATTTCCTATCACTCACAGTATGTGCTACAAAAATCAGGCTAGTAGTAACTACTACTTTAGATGTGATTCTATAACCACTTTAGAAGGGTTCTAAAGTGAACCATTCTCTCCCAATATGGGATCTTCCAGATGCTTTGGATAAGTCCATTTATCCCCAATGACTGGATAATATTGGAGTGAAAACATTGATTGATTAAAAAGAACATTGCTGGTGGATAGTAGTGTCCCACAAACCAGTGAATGTGACATTTTTATTGCCAAAGCTTAAAATGCTGAAGTTCAGATTATTTATTTCTTTTTAATATGTTTACTAAAATACATACCATTCCATTGCAGCAATGATTATTGCTACATATAGTTGCTGTACATACTATTACTGATCATTTGGTGTTGTATTTTGATTGGGTGAATTATCTAGACCAGAACAAATCTCTGAACCAATCGGATTAGTTTTAACTATGATGGCATAATAGCTTGGTAAAAGTTTTTCTGTCCACCGTTACTATCTTTCATTATTTGAATGATTAATAATCTGGGTCTGTAAAGTACCTTGAAACTATTTATTACTAGCACAGCAACCATTTCAGTAGCATCAAACTAAATTTTAACAATTTAAAGAAGTGTGCAGAAGTATTCCGTAGGGAACACTGCTTAATTGGTAGCCTTGATCCAGCAAGAAGCAGTTTGCATAGGATTTAGTTTTCACATGCAGATTATCTTTGGCAGGGATAAGAAGCTGCTCCCCCCCCACCACACACACACACACACACACACACAAACAACTGTGAACATTTTCTTCTGTTTGACAGTCTGAGCTCCACAGGCAGTGTCAAGTACTGTGTCTGAGCCTGCGCACTTCCCCTTGCAGAATTCACTTGCAAGAGCAACAGGAAGCTATCACTTACTCAAATAGCCCTGCAAAGAAGCTGAAATGAGCTTCATTCTGCAAGCTCTGCTGCTCTCTTTTCTTTCAGCTAGTTTCCAATTGTTTTGGAACCACCAGCTTCCCATTGCTCTATGGTGGGTCCTACTAGATACGGTCCCCTGTTCCTCCCATCTATTTTGATAGGGAGAAGGTAAAATATGTTTTGCTGCCAAGATTCATTTGCATATATTAAGCAAATACAAAAAATGGGTATTATACCATTGGTTCCTTAAATGTGTTGGATACTCAAGAATAAATAGCTGAATCCTATTCTGCTTAAATTGTTCATTGTGGTAATATGCCTGCCTGTTACGAAAATAATTTCTGGATACCTGTTCAGTGGAAGACACTTGATCAGAGTGATGGATAATCAGTTACTATTGGACCTGAAATTTCATTTTCAATTATTTCATTATTTATATCTCATTTTTAAAGATGGGTTATACAGATGTTTTCAGTGAAGCAATGGGACTAAGCTCTGTTAAATGTTAAATAATTCATTCCTGGGTCATCCCAGACCCAGATTATTTATAGTAGATACTAAATGTTACTATAATAGTTAATGCCGAAAGAAATCCAGATGTCTGGTACTGCTCCTGTGGCTTGAAATCTTCAGGCATCATTACTTAGAAAATTTACCTCTTTTCCCTGGATAGCATATAACTGAAACAATTGCTGAGTGCCATCTACTTGCATGACTATCACTAGCCCCATCTGGTATTTCTTACAGCAGCAGTAGTTAAGAATGCAAACCCCCTTCTTGCTTCTGCTTTTGTGTGATCTTTCTAAAGGCACTTAATTTATTTCTTTATTGTCGAGAAGCCATGTACTTCTGGCTTGTACAATTTAGCCTAGATGAAGTCATTTTTAAAGAACAAAAGTAGAAAACGTCTAATGTTACTAAACAATGTCTCATCATCTTTACTTTTAAATAAACAAGCACAAGATAGTAGTATTTCACAAGCCAGAGGACTGTTAGTTAATTTGTGTGCACATCATTAACTGTAATAGTGTGTATGTAGCTTCAGTTAACCTGGTAGTTCTCAAATTAAGGTAAATATTTTTATTCTGAAGGGCATAATCCATATTGGTCTGGGGCATGCAGGGAGTTGCAGAATTTTCTCTTTGTCTAAACATGCATAGATTTGCTCTTTTATTTTATTTATTTATTTATTTATTTAAACATTTTTATGCCGCCCCATTCGCCGAAGCCTCGGGGCGGCTTAC